GCCAGCCAAGGGCCAAACTTGCAAGCAAGATTTTCTAATGAAAATGATAAGACAAAAGAACTACAATAGCCAAAACAATTCTGAAAAAGAAAATTTAAAAAAATATGTAGAGGATTCTTCACTATCTGACTTCAAAACTTAGGTTGTAGTGATTATGACAGCGCTGATTGGTGAAAGGAGACACAGACCAACAGAATATAAGAGAATCCATAAATAGATCCCACAGAGAGTCAATGGATTTCTGATAAATATACAAAGGCAACTTAATGAAGGACAGTCTTTTCAATAAACACTTGTAGAACAATGAAGACACTGTACACATACACACACACACACACACACACACACACTGAATACTGAAACTATGCATGGTGGCACAAAACTGTAATCCCAATCTCTGCTTGGGAGATTTGAGGTAGGAGGATTACAAGTTACAGGATAGTATGAGCTACTTAGTGAGACCATGACTCAATATAAAAAACAAAAAGAGGTGGGGATGTATCTCAGTGGTAGAACACAACTGGGGTTCAATTCCCATTACTACAAAAAGAGGGGGGGAAAAAAGTCTGAAGCTATATAGCTCAGAGCACCTGGCTAGCATACATGAAGCCCTGAGGCCCTGAGTTCAATCCCTGGTACTGAAAGAAAAAAAAAAGATCAAAAAGAATATTGACCCATATTTTGCACCTTACATAAAAATAACTCAAAATAGATTATGGCTTTTAAAAGTAAAACCTAAATTATAGAACTCATAAGAGTTAGGTTTCTTCACGTGTAACACCAAAAGCATCATAAAAACAAAAATTGGTATATCAGACGTCATTAAAATTAGAAACTAATGTTTTGCAAAATTCATCATTAACAGGACAAGCCAGACACTTGGAAAAATATTTGCAAATCACATATCCAACAAAGGACTTGTACCTAGAACAAATAAAGAACTCTCAGAATTTAACCATAAGAAAACAACCAACCAAATTTAAAAATGGACAAGTAATTTGAAAGGACCCTTCACCAAATTAAACATACAGACAGCAAATAAGCAAATGAAAAGAGGTTCATCATCATTAGTCAGACAAGAGTGTAAACTAAAATAACAATGAACTACCACTACATACTTATTAGAACAGCTAAAACAACAATAGTAAATAACCCTGATAATAGCAAGTGCTAACATGGATGCAGAATAACCAGAAGTCTCCTACAATGCTGGTGGAGGTGTAAAATGACAAAGCCACTTTTGAAAAATAACATGACAGTTTCTTATAAAGTTAATTACATACTTTATAAATAAATGGAATTAAAAAAGCAAACTAGTGATATATACACAAAACACAGATGAATCTCAAATGCATTATGCCATGTGGAAAAGCAAACTTCAAAAGGCAAAATAGTATTAAATTCATTACAATCACACATCAATGGTTACCAGGGATTGGAGACAGTCATTGACAGTGTGTGATGACTACAAAAGGGCAGTGCAGGGGAGTATCAGGGGTGGACTGTTCTACATGCAGATTCAATGTCTAAACTCACAGAACTACAGACCAGAGAGTCCCACTGCATATAAATTTTTAAAAAGTAAATTTTAAAAACAAAATTATTTTATTTTTCTTATTACTAAATCAATACATATTCAGTAGCATTCAGAATACAATAAAACACATAAAGGAATAAAATAAAACACATAAAGGAATAAAAATAATCCATAATATCACTGCTCTAACAACTGTAAATATTTTGATCTTTAATTTAATGCCTATCAACAAAATGACATTCTGTTTTTTCTGTTACTGAATCATACAAAAAAGTTGAACAGATTTTCACCAAATCTAGAGGGCACATTTGGAACAGTACAATCTTAAGGGCAACGTATACAGCAGGCACAAAACTGGGGAGGACTAAAAAGT